TGAGTGATGAATGAGCGGCGGCGCTTCCGTAAATAGTGTCGGCGTGATGACGTCGGCAAGCCACGTTGGTGGCGGGAATGCTGGGAAGTGTAGTTAGCAGGAGGAGTTTGTGACAGCAAGCCGCTCTACCTCCTGAGCTACGCTGCCCTTATAAATGCAGAGATGAATCACATCTGCAACATTTCTGCTGCATTTTAGAAAGATTGGAAGCAAATTTAAGGCCATGCTTCTTGACTGTAAAAATAAAATGCTCCTTTTGGGTTTTGGGAGTGAGTTTCTGCCACAAGTGGAAACGTTTGTGTCTATTAGTGATGGTAGGACGGAGCAAAAGATGGACAGACAGTTTGAGGCTTCATCTTCAGGATGTTGGGGTTGAAAAGGGAACTGAAACAAAAGACAAGCTTTTCTGTCATCAAATGAGATCTAAATCATGAAAGAATGATATCCCGCATTGGGAATCCGATTTCTCCTGGTTGCCTCCCTCTGACGGGTTGCCAGTGACATCCTAAAAAGCCCCGCTGCAGACCCGGTTTGGTTTGGTCAATGCCAGGTCTGTGCTGAACAAAACTTTTATTCTTCGTGACTTTTTTATTCAGCATGACCTGGGTTTTCTCTGCATCTGTGAGTCCTGGATCCCGTTTGGCGACACAAGTTCCCTACTCGAGCTCATACCACCTGGCTGCTCGTGTTTTAATACCCCCAGACCACGGGGCAGAGGTGGAGGGCTGGTTGTTGTTTTTAAATCCAGCTTTCCTTGTAAACAGCTTAAACCCACCATGTCATTTTCTTCCTTCGAACTGTCCTTATTTGAACTGTGCATCTCCCCCCGCCTGCTCGTTGTGCTGATTTATCGGCCTCCAAAGACTGACTCTAACTTCCTTAACGATTTCTGTGATCTTGTGGCAGACTGCATCCTAAAATATGATTATGTCCTATTTTTTGGTGATTTTAACATCCATATCTGCTGTCCTGATAATGTGCTTGCTAAAGGTTTTTTTTAATTTGCTAGATTCATTCAATTTGACTCAATGGGTATCATCCCCAACTCATGCCAGGGGTCACATCCTGGACCTGGTTATCTCTTATGGTCTACCCATCATGAACCTTGTGACTTTGCCTCCTGTGTTCTCTGACCACTCTCCAATACTCTTTGATGTTACGTTGCCATGTCCTGTCCCTGTGTGTGAAGCTCCAGCTACTAGGTTCAGAGCCCTGGATGCAGAAACTATTTCAAAGTTTGTGGACTGTATGTCTGTAAGGTTAGAGACCTTTAACCCAGATCCATCTAACACTGAACACTATTCACAACACTTTGATGTACTTTGTAATCAGGTCCTGGACCTGGTTGCCCCTCTCAAACTGTGCAAGTCTAGGCCTAGGAGGGAGCCATGGCTCTCTGATGTCACACGGGCTTGTAGGCGGGCGTGTAGATCCTCTGAGAGAAAGTGGAAAAAGGATGGCCTACAGGTCTCGCGTGAGTTGTTCAGAGCATCTCTGGTTGCTTATCAGGATGCTGTGAGGGCTGCCAGAACGGCCTATTTTGCAGACATCATTGAGACAAACTCCAATAATCCTAAGATTCTCTTCAAAACGCTAAACTCTGTTCTGGTGTATCAGGAGCCTAGCTCCATGTCTCCTACAGCTGCTGGAAACTCTGAAGCTTTTCACAGATTCTTTGTTGATAAAGTGTCGGGCATTAGAGCAGCTATTTCTGGTAACTCTGTTGACCCTGTTCCAGTTCCTCCATCACCACCCACCCTGAGCTCCCTCAATACAGTTTCATACTCTGAGCTGAGTAAGCTTGTTGCGAGGCAGAAGCCATCTGGCTCTCCACTTGATGTTCTGCCGCCTCGTCTCTGGAAGGCTGCCTTTCCGTGCCTTGGCCCTTCACTTGGTCAGATTATCAATGGGAGCCTCAGCACAGGTGTGGTCCCAGCAGCTTTGAAAGCAGCAGTTATTCGGCCGACCCTGAAGAAACCTGGTGCTGATGTCTCTGTGATAGAAAATTACAGGCCTATCTCTACCCTGCCCTTTACATCAAAACTGCTTGAGAAAGTCGTTTATCAGCAGCTGGTCTCACATTTAGCTGACTCTGATCTGTTTGAGGTTTTCCAATCAGGGTTCAGGTCTGGCCATAGCACAGAGTCTGCTCTACTGAGGGTCCTAAATGACATCTATCTTTCACTAGATCAGGGAACATCTGTGCTGCTTCTGTTATTTGACCTGACAGCAGCCTTCGACACAGTTGACCACGCGATTCTACTCGATCGCTTGGAACGATGGGTTGGGATCAAAGGGTCAGCTCTGGATTGGTTTAGATCATATCTCCACAACAGGACATTCTGTGTTAAACTGGGTGATGTTTTTTCTTCTTGGGAGGGGCTCCGCTTGGGGGTCCCGCAGGGGTCGATCCTTGGTCCACTTTTGTTTGCCATTTATCTGCTACCTCTGGGGTCAATCTTTCGTAAACATGGCCTATCATTCCATCTGTATGCTGACGATTGCCAGATTTACTCTCCATTGTGTCAGGAGAAAGGTCACTCTATTCAGTCCTTTGTCTCCTGTCTTAACGAGGTGAAGTCTTGGCTAATGTCCAACTATCTACATCTGAATGAGGGAAAGACAGAGCTCATTGTTTTTCTCCCCAACAGCAGGAATGTGGATTGTTATGTTGATCTTGGCCCTCTTTCTCCATACTCAAAACCAGTTGTTACCAGTTTGGTGGTGAAACTTGATGTAGGACTTAAATTTGATGCCCACATCAATTCTGTGATCCGGTCCAGTTTCTTTCACCTGAGACGCCTTGCTAAAATCAAGCATATGCTGTCAAGAGCCCACCTGGAGCGGGTACTGCATGCCTTTGTTATTTCTCGGCTTGACTACTGCAACTCTCTATATGCAGGGTTGTGTCAGTCAACACTGCGTCGCCTACAGGTTGTGCAGAACAGCGCTGCAAGGTTCCTGACTGGGACCAGGAAACGGGACCACATCAGTCCAGTTCTGGCCTCTCTGCACTGGCTTCCGATTTGCTATCGCTCACAATTCAAAATACTCGTCTTTGTTTATCATTTCTTCCAGGGTGGTGCTCCCCCCTATCTGGCCACACTCCTGAAAAGACACTCCCCATCACGCGCTCTGCGCTCCTTTGACCAAGGCCTGCTCGCTGTCCCTCGGTCTAGGTGTCGTACCCGTGGGGACCGGGCTTTCTCAGTCCTAGCACCGTTACTCTGGAACCAGTTGCCACCCTCAGTTAGGCTGTCCCCTTCTCTGCCAGTCTTTAAGAATCACCTAAAAACACACCTCCTCCACTTGGCGTTTCCAGAACATGTTTGATTTTGGCCCTCTGTTATGTTGAATCCATTCCACAGTTTTCATTGGTACACTCAATCCATCCACTCAATCCAAATGTGTTTCACTCATTTGTCCTTTACCAGAATGTTTCATCTATCTTATAATTTCCATTTTGTATTTTGTAATTTGAATTTCTTTTATTGTTGATTTTTTCACTATATTTGCTTGCAACTGTACCATGTTCAGCGCTTTGGGCTTCCTGACAGGATTGCGGAAGGCGCTTTATAAATAAAGCTTTGATTGATTGATTGATCCTGCTGGGAGCAGACCCAGAACATCGGGGTTGTTCATCCCCTCTGGCCAGAGAAAACTTTGGGATTTCCCAGTAGAAGCTGCAGAGAGGGCAGAACTTCTCCTCCCATCTAAGAAGGATGGATGTGTAATTTATTAAGAAAATAATGACAAAACACATTAAAATGTGAAATATTTTAAAACATGGTAAGAAAAAACAAAACATGCAGTTTACTCCAAGATATCTGTGCATCTCTGTAATTAGGCTCAAATTTTCTATTTACTGAAATGTTTTGTATGTTTTCTGCAGCTTATTGTTAAATTTTGTGTTTTTGATGCTCGTCACATGAATTCTGGACCAAGATTTTAGCACCCAGTGTCACTCAAATGAATAATCCTTTGTTAGAATGATATTAAGCCCTCCTCCTAAAGAGCTGCAGACCTGGAGGGTGGATGTGAAATCTGCAAAAAAAGTACAAATGAGACATGAACGTGCATCTTTTACAGACAGAGCTCAGGTAAAGGAGGCTGAGCTGGGGTTAAAGGGTTCACTAAATCCCAGTTAAAACTTAGCATAAGATGGATCATGCAGCTGTTCCTAGCAGTGCTGCTGACATCATGCTTTCTGGTGTCTGATTTTCCTTTTTGGTCTCGTTTTTAGATTTTCTTTGATTTCAGACATCCTCCAGGGGGAGGAGGAGGAGGAGGAGGGGAGACCGAGGGACAGACAGACAACATGAGAGACAAAAATGAGACTAATTCTGGAGAGAGTGCGATAAATCTTCTGCATCATGCATGTGGGTGAGATCTGAGCTGATGTACTGCAGCCAGCAGCTCACAGGCATGGGTCCTCTGTGGTCATGCATGTAGAAACAGAGCGGGGGGGGGGGGGGGGGGCTTATCAGCTCTAACCATGTGTGCGCAGTGGACAGCAGCGTGTTGGAGCCGCATCTCCTCACCGCCGTCGAGGAAAGAAAAATGAAAAAAAAAAAAACCAAAAAAAAAAAAAAAAACCAGGAGAACCATATTGTACGTGACGCCACACCCATCATTTTCAGCCAGACGCGGCGGAAAGGAGCGCTTTCTGTCGGCGACATGACAGCAGAGAGCCGCGGATGACTCACCCCTTCCCTCACACCCCTCCCCCCTTTCATCCCATATATTTATTTACAATCCCGCAGTGCAGACAGCTGCCGATAATAATAATAATAATAATAATATTAATAAATATTGATGATGATGCGCGACGATGGCGCACGTGGGGCCAGCTTAGGCAGTGGTATTTAAAAATGTGCACGCCGTCAGTGCGCATGATACTGCGGCTCCTCTCTCCTCTCCGTACTACGGCACGCTCCAACTCACCTTGAGTCGGCGCGCGGCTGCTCCGCTGTCATTCGGGGTGCGGGGCCTTTTCCCAGGGAGCCAATACACGCCCCACAGCTTCCGTCAGCAGCCAATCCGGCGGCGGCGGAGGCGGACCCGCGGCCGCATTCTCACACTTGGTTTCACTGTGCGCTCGTAAAAACGGCTCCGTCTACTACGAACGCGGCGGTGCAGGTGCTCTGTCTCTTCGGGAGAGAGAAGGATGCGGATGGAAGGACGGGGGAGGGAAGGGACGAAGGGAAGCGCCGCGAGGAGCAAGAAGCAGATATGAGAAGGGGATCCGGCGAGAGTCCGTGAGGCTGCAAGGTCGAATATGAGAGATTGGTTGAACGGGGCACTTTGCGTGGTAATAGCTGGTCGGCAATAGTACTATGATTTGGTATGTGGCCACTCTGATAGCAAGTGTATTCAGCACCAGAGAAACGGCCGCTCAAGGTGAGTTGAAGTGCAAAATAATCTGCTGTGTGGCTTTGGTGCTGCCTTTTATATATATATATATATATATATATATATATATATATATATATATATATATATATATATATATATATATATATATATATATATAATTATTATTATTTAGCGCGTGACATGTTTGCATGCTTGGTCATATAGCTCCCCCCCCCCCCCCCCCCTCCAAACAAATGGCTGCAAATGTGATATGTCACGTGAAAGTTCTGTTGGATAAATCAGATCAGAGCTGTGCTGATTTCCACCACAACAAGGATAGCCTAACTGATCGGTCTGAGGCCGGTGCGGTGTGTGTGCGCGCGCTCGAATGTGTGTGTGTGTGTGTGTGAGATGAAAAACGCGAACAAATAGGAGGATAGGGGAAATGTGTGTATTATAGTCCCGTAGAGTTCTCCAGAGAGGGGTGTTGCCGTCTCAGATCTCAAGATGGAAAAGTGGCTAAATAATTCATCACGTGTCAGATGAAATGCACTCTTAGAATTTGATAGAGCTCACTGCCGCATGCATGCACGGGACTGAAATGCAGAATTTCACATGGATGGATGGGGTCACACACACATGCACACACACACCAGCTGCAGCTCGCATGATCCGAAAGTCGCACATGAAGAAGAAAGAAAACACTCCATCCTGCTCCTAGAAAGACGCACAGGATCCATTTTGTTCCAATTTCTCGTTTTGATCACTCCCTATTGATCTATGTACTCACTTAACCTTGCTTTTCCACTTGCGTCCAGATGAGGGAGACATGTGCCAGTCTGTCGCCTGCTGATCCCAATGACCCTGCATACCCAGTCAGAACTCGCACAGGTCTGGCTCCTCCTTTGATGCCAGCCAGAGCCAAGAGGGCAGAGGTTTGAAGGAAAACTTGGTTTTCGGGAGCAGAGAGGCTCTCTGGGATGCTTTCCCTGCAGGCCTAGAAGAATCTGCCTAATCATGTCAATTCAGATGTGCTCCGTTGTGTTGAGCAGAAGTGGATTTGAGTCTTTCAAGCTGCTAAAGAGTCCCAATCACGACATTGCATACTAAGTTGTAGGGTTTCTGGGAGAATTTCTTCTGTTTTGATGTGCGAGAAAAGGAAAAACGTCCACTTTACTCTCAAGTACATGACACCTTTAAAGAAGTGGATGAAGAGCTGAAGTGTCCTGATGATAAATTAATACAAAAAAATATGTTTCAGAGCACATGTGATGTCTAGGCCTTTGGCTTTACCTCCTCACTGGGTCTGAGAATCAGACTTTAGGGTCTCAACTTGCTTCATAACCAGAAAGAACCGTTGGATCAGAGCAGCTGGAACTTGGCTCCTTTCTCCTGGAGTGGGATTTAGCTTCTTTTGCACTTTGCTCAGTGTTGGGCATGAACACACGAGCAGTAAAGCTACAAACAGATCCAGAAAATAACATGCAAGTGCTGAGCAATTTTTTATATATGATTTTCACCAACATGTGTATGCCATGCTCTATGCTTGTTATGCTATTAAGGTAGATACGTAACTATGATTCTGGAGGAGTTTTGGAATGAAGGGAAACGCTGAAGAGCAAAATAAAATAACAGAATCAACAAATAGGCCTATACATTTATATCATATAACCATCAGATGGATCTTAAATACCAGCTGAGCTCATAGGCTACTTTGAAACTTTGCTATTCTGAGAATAAGAAGCAGCCTTGCCAGTCACTGTGCCCTCTTAGTTTGGTGAGCGGGACGATGCGACAGCAGAACAACTACGATGGCCACGGCTCGTTTGAAACGGCTTTGGCGTCAACTTTGGACTATTTAAACTCGGGCTTTTCTTTGAGTCGAGAGCAGAAACAGGTACTCAACTCCTTTTATGTAGAAAAAGGATGGTGGACTGCCCCGTTTCTTGGCCTTCATGGCGGTGAGTACGTCATGTTGTTTGTTGTGCAATAGCATGCAGTGATTGTTTGATAGACAACCGCAGATTCCGCCCCACGACTGAGCTCTGTCTACAGGTCGTGGCCAGACATGCTTACATTTATAGGATGGCTTTCCAGGCTATTCTTTTGCATGTTTCCAAGTCATTTTGCTGTAAAGCTCGTGTCATCAGCAAACCTGTCTAGTTATAAGAGTATGAGACATTTACATTACTAGCTGTAAATGGAACCCAAGAGGTGAAAGAGCATTTTATGTCAGAAAGTCATGATAAACTCTTCTTCTAAAGTCTTCAGTTCTGTTTAGAGTTGTTCTTCCTGCTACAGCTAATAAAAATGAACTGATTCAGGATTTTGAGAACAGATATCGATTTCTGAGTCTTGTGTTGCTCTTATCTGCCTTTTGACCTTTTTGGCCAGTTCCAGTGTAGCCCAAACAACCATATACAGAACATTTAAGAACATATATTTTTAAATTAATTTGAAACTGAAGATCCTGAAAGTTATAACTTCCACCCAAAATATTTTTATAATGCTGGTAAAAAATGTTGGACCCTATATCTTTGCCTGGAACTGGTGGATCAGAAAATAGCTATTCATAAACTGACCACTAATTAAGCTGATCACGCTAAGTACTGACCAATTTTGGGCACTGGCTTGGAGCTCTTTACACATGTGAGCTGAAATTTGGCTAAATGGTTGAAGAAGTTGTTTATCAGCATGACTGTATTGATAGATTTGCTTTTGCAAAGCTCAAACCCCATTTCTACAAATAAATTAGACGCAACTAAAAAAACTATTGTCTTGATTGGAATCGGCCAATATGAACGTCCTAACTGATAAGAAGCCAATATGAAAGTCAGAAATCTTTTTTTTTCTTTTGAGTCTGTGAATGCACTCTTGCCCATCAGCAATAAAAAAAGGACATTTACTCTGGTCTCCATAGCTACGTGTAAATTCACACTAACAACAACAGGTCTAAATTGATCTAGATCGGTATCGGCAGGTCAAAGCTGTACAAGGATTGGAAATTTGGCCCTAAATCCGAGGACTGGTGCATCTCTAATAGCAATCGTAATCCAAAGTTGATTCTGGTAACGGGCAAACTGCTCCAGGCATCAACATGGAAGTTAAAGATAAGCCAACCGTAGCCTGTGTGGATTAGTGTACCTTATCTGTGTTGTTGGGCACCTGTGATGCCGCTAAAGTCCCGTAACGCCCAGAGTTTTACTTTTCTTCGCACACTGGGTTTTGTAGAGTACGGGAAAATAGGGGTCGACGCTGGTGCATCTCTCAACTGAAAGCATATAGGTAGTTAGCCAATCTGTGTCATTAAGTCAACGGTCAAGCAAGAAGAGAGAAGCGTTTGACCATAGATGCTGTTGTCATTATGATGATATGTTGCAAAACTACATGTTTTTGGTCAGCACAAATGACTAAAGGGGCGACGGTGGCACAGGAGTTAAGTGCTCGCCCCGTAATCGGAAGGTTGCAGGTTCGAGCCCCGCTCAGTCTGTCGCTGTCGTTGTGTCCTTGGGCAAGACACTTAACCCACGTTGCCTGCTGGTGGTGGTCGGAGGGACAGGTGGCGCCAGTGCTCGGCAGCCTCGCCTCTGTCAGTGCGCCCCAGGGCAGCTGTGGCTACATCGTAGCTCATCCCCACCAGGGTGTGAATGTGTGTGTGAATGGGTGAATGACTGATTGTGTTGTAAAGCGCCTTGGGGGGTTCCAGGACTCTAGAAGGCGCTATATCGAATACAGGCCATTTACCATTTAAAGTGGAAAAAATGGGGCAGCAGTAGCTCAGGAGGTAGAGTGGGTTGCCTCATGATCGGTCATGGGTTCGATTCCAGCTCCCGCCAGTGGTATTCTGCTGTTGTGTCCTTGGGCAACACACTTCACCCAACTTGCCTGTGTTGGTGGTGGTTAGAGGGGCCAAAGGCGCCAAATGGCAGCCTCGCCTCTGTCAGACCGCCCCAGGGTGGCTGTGGCTACAAAGTAGCTTACCATCGCTAGCAGTGTGTGAATGTGAGAGTGCATGAAAGCATCTTTAAGTGTCCTAAAAAGCGCTATATAAGTTTGATGATGAATATTATTATTAAAAATGAATATTTTTTTGAGGGCTTTGACACCACTGCTATAACACGTCCCCTCTAGGGGTGTTTATAGCTTCCTTGTGATTTAGTTGCTGAAGTGGTTTGTGCAGAATAAACTGACTGAAGATTTGCAACTGAAAGAGAAAATACTTGCAGCGTGGACAGGGTCATGAGCCCAAATGGCACCAAGTTTTAAAAAGCAACACTCAAGTCAATCAGAAACTGTTTTGCAGCTGCTTTGATGGATAATGAAAAAACAAAAAACTTTCTAACTAAATCAGCTTTTGGAGTTACACAAATTCAAGAAAGCAGATATTCCTGCAGGATTATGTGAGATTTTGAGGGGTTACAACACCTGATTACTTTGTGTTATGAACCGTAATGCTGCATTTGGGAGATTTACAAATTCATAAACACGCTTCAGGGAATACACTGTCAATTCGTCACCCGACATAGTGATGTAGAGGGATAAGCTCAGGTTTGAGCAGTCAGTCGTAATAAACGGACATTCAACGACCCCGTCTTGTGCCAAGTGGCTGTTGAGAAGACAGCATGTGGTTAGAGAGACCTGGGGTTAGCGAAACAAAGTCACTGGTGGCTTGGCAGCCAATCAGGGTGAGGCAGGAGGGACGCTCATACAAACAAGAAGGAATTAAAGGTATTTTGGCAGTTTTAAAACATGTTCAGCGTGAACGTTATTTCTAACTTCTAGATACTTTTGCAGATGGCTTCAGTTAGGAGAAGTAGTTTTTGTAAACATGTGAAATTTGATCACATTTCTGCCTGACTTGAACCCTGGATTAACCTACAGTGCTGCATTTTGCTGCTGGTGATTTATTAATACCCAGATCATTTCATATAACTAACTTAAAATTTCATCACTGGCTACAGAGTAAATATTTGTAACACAACATTGCACAAACCACTTTAACAGCTCATGTGTTCTATCAGACATCATCTCTATTTCTCTTAATA